AGTTTGTCACCTGAAGACAGGCTTTACAGTCTTTTATACTATGTACAGAAAAATGGAAGAAATAAATCAAAACGGGAGTGGGAATAGGAGCCACATCTTGTGTTCCCCAAAGGAAATATTGGATCAGATTCTCAGGGAGAAAGGGAGGACTGACTGCAGGAAAAGAGAAAAGTAAAAAACTTACCTGCACTTGAACATGTAATATGACCATTAGGCACTATAAAGCCCACCTGAATTTCAGAGATTTAGGACTTTGCGGGGTTTTTTTAATCAATCACTCATACCAGGCACTGTTTTGATCCACACAGTAACCTCAGGAGTAATTTCTCCTATAGTAAAAGAAATTCAGGCATGGAGAAATAACTTTGACCATGTTTAATAAGGGTTGGAGTCAGGATTTGAACCTCAGAAACTCTGCTTCAGCACCAGGCTCTAACCACTGCACTGTGTTGCCTCTCCATGAGTTGGAACTGAAACCAGTTAGCACCAATTTGTACTTTCATTGGTTCTGTTCATTATGTCGGTGTGATCTTTGGTTTTTGGAGCAGAGAATAATGTTTCTACCTCCAAGTAGCTTCACAAAATATTGAAGAATTATAATGAGTATAGTTATTTCACAGATTTAGATATATTTTTATTAAGGTACATTGTTTTTCCCTTTGTTCCTTTTTCTTTTTTCCCCTTTGTTCCTTTTTCTAAAGTAACATAAAACAAAACCCATCACCTGTGCAATAACATATTTTTTAACGATGCATTTAATTTTTTGTATACCTCTTTTATTGTCCATTCCGTGGGTACAGGAGCCTAAAATATGCCCAATAATAGGGACATGACTATGAACAAGACAGAAAAGGACCATTTTATTTAGATGCAAAAGGAAATGTAATATTCTAATGTAATAAATGTAAAATGCTCCCAAAAGTAAGTAAATAGCTAATATTAAGGAAAGATTAGTGCTGTGCTTTCAACAGTTACTTTTTGAGTATGCATTTTGTGCTAAATACTGATCTATAAAGTGTGTCCCACAGGATGATAGGGAAAGAGAGCTGTTTACATTAGCTGTTCAACAAAGGCCTCTTGGAGCAGGTGCCATTTGAACCAAGACCCGAATGACAAACAGAAGCAGAAATGTGTCTTTACTGAGGTTCTGGGAATTCTGGAGGCCTCTAACCTTGGATGGGAAGAATAATTATTTTCTTTGTTTTCACTAAGCTCAGACTGAAATTTGACATTTTCTTCCTTCTGAACATAGGCAACAAGCCTCAGTGGTGTTAGCATGACCTGGCATTTTGTGATCAGCAGAAGTACAAATATTTTCTTACAATGTCTCAGTGTCTGCAGGTACCCTGCAGTGTCATCATGGCTGCGCATTGGTGGTATTTCTTGGATTAGATTATATGTTGTGTTCATAAGGAACCTCATGTGTTGCTGTACCAGTTATGTATTACTGTGTAATAAGTGAAGCCAACACTGAGCTGAAACCCAGTTCTGTGGCTTCCCAGTTTGTGCTGTGCTAGCTGGGCAGTTTTCATGGACTTGCCCAGGGATGACGGTATGGCTTAGTCCTTGGGTAGCACAAGGAGGCTAAAAACTTCAAGGTGGCCTTGCTTGCAGGCTGGACACTGGGCCGAGAGGTCCACAGCTCCACGCTGGCCTCTTTGCCTGGGGACAGTGTTCTGGGGCACGTGCAGTCCTGCACCACTCGTGTTGTGCTAGAAGGCCAGTTCAGAATCTAATTTAGAAAAGACTGCATAGGCTGTGAGTGCAGGGAAGTATGACCAAACAGGAACCACTGTTACAGTAATCTAACCAACTACCATCTCATAATTCTTAAAAATTATTGACAATTTTAACATAATATCTTTTGTATTCTGACTTTCATGCCCTTTAAAGTACTGGGGTTTTTTTGAGACAGGGCCTTGTTATGTAGTTCAGGCTGGCCTTAAACTCACTGTGTAGCCCAGACTGGCCTCGAACTCATAGCAGTCCTGCCTCAGCCTCCCAAGTGCTGGGATTACAAGTGTGTGCCAGTGCATCAGGCTAAAATACTATTCTAAGGAGAGGTTCATAGGCTTCACCATGTTGCCCAGGAGGACCATGTTATAACACCAGGTCTTGAGCCCTTGGTCTGAAGACAAAACTGGCGTGTCCTGGGATAGAGGTGCAAAAGGAAAGGCCCTGTGTCGGAGCCGAGTGCCCATGGGGTGGAGGGGCTGAGGGAGGTGGGCCAGGTCCTGTGACTTATTTGGAAGGTTTGAGACTTACAGAGGGCATTTTCCCAAGTATGGAGAGTGGGCATTGTATGTAAACTGTATTTTATAACCATGTTGTAGCCATTGCTAATTTTGGGAGGCTATCTTGGCTAAATTAAGTACACTCCTTTTGCAATTCTGAATCTCCTGTGATATCAGTCTTGCTTGGAAAGGGTGCTTGGGTGGTAGCTTTTCAGAGTTGAGAAAATCCATATCCCAACAGGATTTTATGCTAACATTTACCATTGAATAAAAGCCATCATATTTGCTAATAATCTTTAGCGAGATAAGAAGCAGAAGCCCATCAGTTGATTTTTAGAAAATCCATACAAGACATTGGTAAGATGCTTTTAAGTGGGCAAACTGTTTTCAAAACTTCTGTGTGGCTGTACTTGTGACCCACAGTAGAGCAGAATCCCTTCCAGATGTCAACTGTGGCAGAGGGGTACTGCAGGGGGAGGATGGGGGTACAGTCCACTTACGGGATGGGGATGGGCAAATTGTTAAGAAATGAGTCTGGCAGACTATTGGTTCATCTTCATGCAAGCTACAGAGAGACAACCCAGGTGTCTGAAGAGTCAGACAAGGAGCTCGAACTGCTTGTGTACAAATGATAACACACACAGTAGGTTAAATGCAGGTTTCTGAGAAAACCCAGTAGTCTGAACGACCTCAGGATTGAGAAGATTACATTAAACTGATGAATTCTCCAGGAAACTCTTCAGAATCTAGCCAATGACTTTTTATGATGACAAGACATAGAACAGATAAAAATCTAACGCCAAAAAAGGCCTTTGCCTTGCCCTGTTGGGATTCAACCCTAATCAAGCATCCCCAACCTTGGTATCTAAGTTCATGGAGTGCCTTTAACAAGAGTTCTGTTAATCCATTTTACATGAATTCCATATCCTCGAGGTCCTCTTTTTGTAATTTTCTATCCACTGAGCCCTCACTGTGCTCCTTAGCCACTGTAAATGCCCCCTGGCCCTTGCTGTGTTCAGAGCTGAGCCCAGCCTCGTGACGGCCTTGGCCTGGGTGGTTGGGAGCCCAGCTTTCCCTGTGTGCCGTGATGTGTGTGTACGTCTTGGGGGTACACTCCCCTTTTTCATAAAAACGCTCATCATACTAGCTTGGGCCAGCCTTCACCTTGGTAAGGACTGTGGCAGCTGGTACTTCAGCATATCTTCTCCAGAGGACAGTTTGGCCCATGTGGCAGCTTGTGAACTTCCACATGCACAAACTCATACAGTACATAGTCTTTTGTACCTGACTGGTTTCAGACAGTGCTGCATTAGTGAGTTCATCCATGCCACAAGTAACAATATTTACTTGTAATCAGTCCTATATAGTATTATGTCAAGGGCTGGCACATTATGGCCTGAATGTCAGTGTGATCACGATTCAGTTTTTACTATACGAATCTGCAAGTATTGCAAAAGAAAATGTGGTCTTTGGTTTCCACAGTGCTTCTTTTTTTTTCATTTCTCTTTGAATAGGAAACTAATCTTATGAATCCTGAATTAAACAAAACTTCTATACCCCTTCTTCCAATGACTGTGAATACATTTTATATGTAAATGTAGATATCTATTGTGTAAATATATATTTTACACTAAGTCATAGCTTATACTTATGTACAGTTTCAAGAAGAAAGTTAAATATTTTACTTAATTGCTTTGTATATATCCTAACCTTCACACGTAAGACCTGATAACACAAGTTTGTTGAAAGAAAAAATCAAATGATACAGAAGTAAGAGATGCAAAAGATCCAGAGTCTATTACTTTGGTTATTACCACAGTACATGCACAGAATCATATAGTGCTATGGTAATAAACAAAATTACAGTCTGTTACTAATCAAAGACTCCTGTGCTTATCTCGATGGGTTGCCTAGTCCAACTGCTTCAAAATAACCACTACTGACAGTGTTTTGGGTATGCTTACAAATATATTAATGACTTGAAGAAAGTTTTGTGGTGTGTTGTGTGTGTGTGTGTGCGTGCATGTGGATATGTGTGTACTCCTTTATTTTAATACACAAGCTCTCAAGCATACCAATCTAGTACTTGCCTTTTATACTTACTAATATTGTAGCTATACAGTGGTACCTTGGTTCACAAACTTAATTTGTTCTGCGATTCTGGAAAAGATGGCCACATTTCTGTTTGTGTGGGAAAGGTGCCCGCAGTCATGTTTGCAACCCAATATGGAGTTTGTAAACAAAAGTATTTGTGAGCAGAGGGCGAGTTCCTTCTCACTCTTTTTAACAATTTTTCATGCTCCATTCAGTGAATGCATGATAGTTTATTTCATCATTCCCCTAAAGAGCAAACATTTAGACTCTTATCAATTCTTTGTGTAAGTACACATAAAATTTATTTCTCTATTTACCTATATGAAATATATATTTAAGAATGATTTTTAGGTCTTGGGTTGCTGGGTCATATGTGTATACTTTTAAATTTGTCAGATGAGCTAGTGTGGCCGTGCATGCCCATGTTCCCAGCTGCTCAGGAGGTTGAGGGGAGATTGCTGGAATCCATTAGACTGAGGCCAGCCAGGTCACCAGAGCCATCATGTAAAGGAGAAGGAAGGAAAGGACAGATGGCACCAAATTGCCATTCAGAAAAGGCAGTAAGATGTCCTCAGGAGGTGTGGTTAGTGTTATTTGTAGCTGCCAGGACTTTCTGTACCATCCTAAGATCTGGATTGAGGAGTTTTTTTTGCTATTTCCTTGTTGTTGCAGAGCAATGAGATGGTGGAGCTGCAGAGGATACGGATGAAGGATGAGATCAGAGAGTACAAGTTCCGGGAAGCCCGGCTCCTCCAGGACTACACGGAGCTGGAAGAGGAGAACATCACACTGCAGAAACTCGTGTCTACATTGAAACAGAACCAGGTGAGGTCTCAAAGGTCTTTTGAGTTTTACCCCAGATGGATCCATTCATTCAGTTTCCTCTATTAGGAAAGAACTTGTTAAAATTTGTTAAGACGGCTTACTGCCCCTACAGTCTTTATGTGCTGAAATTTTTCCAGCCTGCCTATTTCCACTACAGTGTGGAGGAAGAGACACCCCTGTAAGTAGTGCAGTTTATGGGAACTCTATGCGGTCAGGAGATGTCCCTGAGACACACTGGGCGTGGTCCTTCCCGACTCTGAGGTCCCTGCTGCCCACAGCAGGCACCACAGCTCCCCATGCAGCCTGCAGGGGAGGAAGGGCCAGGAAGTTAATTGGCGGGGTAAGTGCTCCTGAAGGACACCCAGGTACCCTGCCAGTGTTCACTAGCCCAGTCCTGTGGGGTTCGTACTGTCCTTCCGGCTCATCACTGCTCACCATTTACCCAGGCCCTTCTACCAGGAACTGAAACTTGGGAACTCAGAAGTTTTAAGGAAAAACAAAAGGGAAAATTTAAACATCTCTTCAATTTCATTTTCTACATGGCATATGATAATTTTCCCAATTAAGTGTTTAGTTGATCAATTCAGAAGTATTTGTCTGTGTGTGTGTGTGTGCATAGTAACCTGTTCTGGCTTATTCCCTACAAATGGATGTACTCTAAGTCCCAAGTCTATTCCCACTAAGAAGATACTGTGTTTTTTCCCTCTTAGTGGCCTTTATTTTCAGACATTAGCATCTATCATAAATTGTCCGATTTGCCGGGTGGCACATGCCTGTAATCCCAGAACTCAGGAGGCTGAGGCAAGAGGATCGCTGAGAGTTTGAGGCCAGCCTAGGCTACATAATGAGTTCAAGGCCACCCTAAACTACATAGCAAGACCCTGTCTCAAAAAGCAAACCTCAAAAAAATGTAAAACTAAACACAGTTTATTAGCATGTAATAGAGTGATGTCTTTGTTCCTTTTTCTAGTTTATTTTTGCATTCACAGCAGATATGTATTCTGCAAATGTTTATTGAAGAGCAGATTTCCATTGTAAACACTATGAACATTGAAGCACCGTGATGGATACAAAGGACTTTGTATCTGGTGGAAACAAAGGACTTTCTCTAAGCAATCCAAGGTGGGCATGGAGAGGAAGTTTAGTAGTAACAGGCAGCATGCTCAGTGCCACAGGAAAGCTCTCAGAGAGGCCCCTGCCATGGCCACCTTTGTGACCAAGAAGCCCTGTAAGCAGGCTCTCCCTTGATTCCAGTTCAGAGAAGGTTACACTGCCAATGATACACATCTGTTTTGTTACATAACATGCCACTGTTCCTCCATTTTACATCCTTAAGCACATAAAAACTTTCTTTGCTTCCTCTTGCTACTCTCAATCATATTTTATTAAGACCCTGTTATCATAATTTTTTAAGTAATTTGACCCTGAGTATAAAAATTTCCTCTTTATTAATAATGAAATAAAATGAAGTAATGATGGTGATCAAATTTTTTCTTGCATCTGATGAATTATTACAAAACCTATTTCTCTGGGAAGCTGAGGCAGGAGGGTCACAAGTTCAAGCCCAGCCCTAGCAACAGTGACTCAACGCAACCCTGTCTCAAAATAAAAAATAAAAAGGGCTAGGGATGTAGCTTAGTGCAAAGGCCCTGGACTCAATCCCCAGTGCTGTGAAACAAATCAAAAAACCCCACCATATTCCTGATTTATTACGTAAATAGTGCCACTTTTAACTACTGGATAAAGACATGGTAGAGAGAAATGTAAGGGGAGTAGAAATATTTTCCATCTCTGCCAAGAATTAATTTTTTGTTTGGGTTTTTTTTGTTGCTGTTGTCGTTTGTTTTTTGAGACAGGGTCTCACTGTGTAGTTCATGCTGGCCTTGAACTCACTATGTATCCCAGGCTGGCCCGAAACTCAGGGTGATCCTCCTGCCTCAGCCTCTGGAGTGCTGGGATTACAGGTGTGGGCCTGATAGTATATATTACTATCCTATATGTTAGTATATACGTATGTGTAATATCTGTTCACCTGTGGTTATATGTTGTATATAATCTACATGTGATCACATGTTTTGGACGCAAAGCTTCTCAGGACACCGGTGAGTGTTACCATCCGGGCGTCCCGTGTGCCTCCCGCCGTGGGTGTAGACGATGTTGCACTTGTTAGAAGCCCTGGCGGCCTGGTGGCCTACTGGCAGACCCAGGCTGTCATTCGTTCTGTGACTCTGCCCTGGATTGTCCCTGCAGGTGGAGTACGAGGGCCTGAAGCACGAGATCAAGCGCTGCGAGGAGGAGGCGGTGCTGCTCAACAGCCAGCTGGAGGATGCACTGCGGCTCAAGGAGATCGCGGCGCACCAGCTGGAGGAGGCGCTGGAGACACTCAAGAACGAGCGCGAGCAGAAGAACAGCCTGCGCAAGGAGCTGGCCCAGTATGTCACCCTTGGAGACAGCCACCTGGGCCTCTCCATGGACGGTCTCAAATTCACTGAGGACGGTGCGGAGCCCAACAACGACGACAAGATGAACGGGCACGGGCCCCTGGCGAGGCTGAATGGGGACTACCGGGCGCCCGCGCTGCGGAAGGGCGAGGCCCTGCATCCTGTCTCCGACCTGTTCAGCGAGCTGAACATCTCGGAGATCCAGAAGCTGAAGCAGCAGCTGATGCAGGTAGGAGCTCTGTGGAGAACTGCACAGACTCAGCCGTGGTGAGCTTTCTGGTTTTCACGTTTGACTTCCAAATTATTGTTATTTTGGCGGCACTGGGGTTGAATCCAGGGCCTCTGCACTGAATTACAACCCCAGCCATTTTTCATCTTTTTTATTTTGAGACAGGGTCTTACTAAGTGGCTGAGTTACCTAGGCTGGGCTCAGACTTGCAGTCCTCCTGCCTTGCCTCCCAGAGTTCTGAAATTACAGGCATGTGCCGCTATGCCCAGCTCAAACTAAATTTTTAAAAATATTGCTTCTTGAAGTAGAACCTTTGAAAGTACATTATTTTAGAACAACGTGACAGAAGGGATACTAAAAAAAAAATCTCTCATTTGTGTCACATTAAGAAATAAGTTTCTGGGCCGGGGATTTAGCTCAGTGGCACCGCCCCTGCCTCACACATGTAAGGACTTGAGTTCAATCCCCGGTACCAGAAAAAAGAAAAAGAAAAAAAGAAAGAAAGAAAAGAAATAAGTTTCTTTGAGGTACAAATTAGATTTCAGTCAGATCTAAGGAAACACAGATCCTTGACCCTGGCATTTCTGACCAACAGAACTATGAGCTTTATGCACAAGTGACACAACAGAAAATACAGTTCCCATCACAGGCAACTGTGCATACAGCTTCCAGATTAACAGTTGCATTTCCCAAGTATGCCTTAAGCCTGACAAGATGTAAAGGACGTCCTATATCAAACTAACCAGGAGACCATAGGATTAGAAACACAGAACAGGTATAAATTTAGAGTTCTGGCTATTCCAACGTGAGCTAAACCTTCACTTTTTAGCTTCTGTAGCCTTGTCTCACTGGAATAGGCTTTCTTCTGTAGAGTCTCGCCTCCCTTTGGAAAGGTCTGCAGCAGGGTCACCTCCGCCTGGACTCAGATCCCTCCTCAAGTTTGTGTTGTGGTCAGCCTGTATACAGTCCCACAATGGAAGCTCTGGTCATGATATCATACCTCCTTTGCAGAACTGTTGAGAAAAGCAGATGGGACAGTAAATATGGAACCCCGTGAAAGTCCAAACTGTATAAGTTATGTTGCAGCTTGTATCTAGATGTTCCCCCAGAGCCTCAGCAGTTAAGGTGGGGAGTTTCAAAGGTGACTGGATTAGGGTGTGTGAATATAGAATTAAGGGTGTGATACTGGTGTTAAGGGTGTGGATAATGGAAGCCCCATTCTGGGTGTGGGTAGCACCAATCAATAGGCTGGAACCCCGGGTGGAACGTAAAGGGACAAGAGGGAGGCAGGTGATGGCTGCTGCTTGCTGCTGGCCGCCTTCTGCCTGCCACACCATGGACTGTTTCTCCTCTCCCATGCCCCTCTGCCAAGCTGCCTGGCCTTGGAGCCAGCTGACTGTGGACTGAAACCACTACAAACTGTGAGCTGAAATAAACCCTCCCTCCTTTAACTTTGGGTGTTGAGTATCTATTTCAGCAATGAGAAAAGTAATTAAGACAGCTACTGTTTCTGTACTGGAACCTTTGTCAATTTTTGAGGTGCCAAGAAGTTTACCCACTACCATTTTATATGAACAGTCCATACACAAACCATGGAAAGTATGAGCTAAGGTAAGTGATGGCAAGCTGTATCCAAATTAAGAGATGCTTTTTTTTGGCAGAGCAAATTGGGGTGAATATTTTACTGACTTATATGTCTTCCTAGGTTGTGGAGTAAATTATAGGAATGTTTTAAATGTTGAATGTAGTGAATCACGCTAACTTTCATCTAACTTGGAAGCATACCCACAAGAAATACAGTCAACAGCCAGGGCCACAGAGGTCTTGGCCAATGTGAGCAAGGCCCTAGTTCAGTAAGCAGTGCTGAAAAGGTGCAGCGAGGAAACATATCTTATTCATAAAACCTGACAATAGGCTTTGGTAGTGAACAGCTCAACTGTGTCATTCCTTATTCACTAAGAAAGTTTTCAAGGTATTATTGGATGAATTATTTTGGTTTCTTGGTGTCCTCAGGACCTGGCCATCAAATAGATTATAACTGACATTTTGCAGAGACAGTCAAGAACCGTAATTTGTTTTATTAGAATGAAATAAGTAGATCCTGTCTGGAAAAACTAAATTACTTAATCTATTTAAAGAACTCCTCTCTGCTTGTGCTGAAATTTCTGCCTCTGCTAAACAGCCTCTGTTTAACTTTATATCCTTACAGATTCTGAGCAGAGAACTCTTCAGTTTTTCGGGGGGGGGGGCGGTATTATACTGGATATGTAATTTCACATGCAATGTGAGAAAAAAATGTTTCTGTACAACTGGAATCTATAAGTTGTATCCTCATGGATGGGGAAGAAATAGATTCATATTATATTTTAATTTTTCAGTTTTAATTTTTCTTATATAGATGGTAATGGTGACAGTAATTTGCTGTATGTCTTACAAGGGCTGAAAGTAATTTGTATAGAGTGGACCCTTGACTTACGAGCTCAATTTGTTCCCAAGGGCTGGTTGTAACTCAGGTTGCTCAATTGTCTTTCAAGTCTCTCTCCTGCATAATTTTAGGCTACACTTTCTTCCAGGCAGACCTCAGTGTCCTTAGAGAGACACTGGCCCAAGATTTCTCAATTAACCACACATAGGAGAGGATGTTGTAATGTTCCTTCCAGAACTCTTTAAGGGTTAAATCTGTATCTGAGACCATCTGGAAGCACAAGCGGCTGGCATTTGGATTAGAACTCAAGACTTTGTTTGTAAGTTAAAACTATAAGTTGGGTCATAACTCAAGTTGTTCGTATGTCAGAGTGGTAGTAACTCGAGGGTCCACTATATATTTTACATATTTGCTTGATTGGTTGGTACTTAACAACTACTGTATGGGGTAGATACTACTGTGTGTTATCCTCATTCTACAGATAGGCCAATTAAGGCACGCTATATTGTGTCATTTGTTCAAAGTCAAAAACCCAACAAATGGAATTGCTGTACAGAGAGAAGTTAAATATCATTTCTGCGTACCAAAAACACTCAAAATATTTATGAGTTGAAATTAATTAAAACAAAATTGTTCACTTCCTGATTCTTAAAACTTACAAAAATACTTTCTTAGTACAAAGTTGACAATTTAGGCACTTACACGGTTAAACTATAGACTTTATATTACCCTTATAAACTTTGTTAGCAAACACATTTCTTAGAAACATTACCATTCTACTCTCAATAAACATAAAAGGAGCAGCTAGGGCTTCAGGTATGGCTCTGCTACAGTGTTGCCTAGTGTGCACAAGAACCTGGGTTCAATCCCCAACACCACACACACATTAAAAGCATTTATAATTATAACAACCAGAAGAAGAGAGGTAGCTTTAAAAAACAGATCTATGAGATATAATGCACACACCTTGCAGTCCATCCATTTAAAATGGTTGTTAGTATGTTTGCAGGATTGAGCAACCATCACCACAATCAATTTTAGAAGGTTTCATCACTAAAAAGATACCACACACTCATTAGCAGCCCCTCTCCATTTCCCAGAAGCCTTAAGCTTTAGGCAGCCACTACCCTATGTACTTCCTATCTCTACAGATGTGTCCATTGTAGACATTTCACATAAATGGAATCATATAATTTGTAGTCCTCCATGACTGGCTTCTTTCACTTAGCATAAAGTTTTCAAGGTTCAGTCATGTTGTAACATGGCATGTTAGCACTTCATTTCTTTTCAGTGCAACTATTGTATGGCATGGATATACCATTTATCACTTGATGGACATTTGAGCTATTTCCACCTTTGAGCTTTCTGAATAATGCTGCTGAACATTTACATGTAAGTTTTCACGTGCACATATTTCAGTTCTCTTGGGTAGAATTCTAGGAATGGAGTTGCTGGATCATATGGTAACTGCTTCATCTTCTGAGGAACTACCAGACTGTTTCCCAAAGCAGCTGCACCATTTTGTATTCCCACCAGCACGGGTTGATGGCTCTGATTATTTCAGATGGTCCACAACACTTGCTATTACCTGCTCTTTTCATCAGAACCATCCTAGTGGATGTGAAGTGGGTTCTCATGATGGCTTTGATTTGCAGTGCTGTTGTTGTTGTTGAGACAACCTCACTAGGTGATCCTTACCAACCTTGAATCTACTATGTAGCCCTGGCTGGCCTCGAACTTCAGTTCTGCTGCCTCAGTCTCCAGAGTGCTGGGATTACAGACCAGTGCCATCATGCCCAGCTTTGATTTTCATTTCTTTGATGACTAATGATGTTGAGCATCTTTTTCATGTGCTTAGTAGCCATATGTAGATCTTCTTTGGAAAAATACCTATTCGGGTTCTTGGTCAGCTTACGAGTTATTTATAATCTTTAATCACTGACTTGAAAGAGTTCTTTGTAGTCTCTGCATATGAATTTCTTATCAGATACATGATTTTCAAATATTTTTTCCCCTTCTTTGGGTTCTTTTCACTTTCCTGGCGGCATTCTTTCATGCACAAAGATTTTAATCTTGATATGTCTAGTTTATTTTGTTGCTGTTACTTACACTTTGGATGTCATACAAAAAACTATTGCCTAGGGCTGGGGATTTAGCTCAGTGGCACCACACCTGCCTTGCAAGCACAAGGTCCTGAGTTCGATCCCTGGTACCAAATAACACCCCAAAAACTATTGCCTAATCTAAGGTCATGAAGACTTATAGGTAGGTTTTCTTCCAAGAGTTTTTTAGTCTAGATCTTACATTAAGGTCTCTGATCCATTTTGACTTAATTTTCACATGTGATCTGAGGTAGGATTTCAACATCAGTGTTTTTTTGTTTTTGTTTTTGTTTTTGGTACCAGGGATCATACTCGGGACCTTGTGCTTGAGAGGCAGGCAGTGGAACCACTGAGCTAAATCCTCGGCCCTCAACATCAGTGTTTTGTTTTGTTTTGTTTTGGTACCAGGTATTGAACTCAAGTCCTGGCACTTGCAAGGCAGGCACAGTGCCACTGAGCTAAATCCCCAGCCCTACCACCCTGAACGCACCTGATCTCGTCAACATCAGTGTTTTGCATGTGGCCATTCACTTATCCAGGCACCATTTATTGAAAAGACTCTTCTATTCTCTCTTTATTGAATTGTCTTGTACCCTTATCAAAATCCAGTTGACTGTAGATGTATGGGTTTATTTCTGAACTGTCAATTCTATTCTATTAATCTACATGTCTATTTTCATGTCAGTACCACACTATCATGATTATTATTGCTGTGTAATAAGTTTTGAAGTGACAAAGTTTCTTTATTCTTTTTCAAGAACTTTATTCAAGATTATTTTGGCTGAAGTCTTTTGCATTTCCTTATGAATTTTATGCTTAGCGTATCATTTTTTCAAGGAAATCAGCTGTGGTTTTGGTAGGATTTCCATTGACTATGTAGCTCAATTGGCCACGCATAGTCATGAACAGGGGATAGTTACCCTTTTGTTTAGGTCCTCTTTAATTTCTTTCAACAATGCTGTATGGTTTTCAGAGTATACATTTTGAACTTCATTTAGCATACTCCTATTTTGGGTTTTTTTATAGTGCTGTAAGTACAATTGTTTTATTAATTTCATTTTCAATTTTTCATTCCCAGTGCACACAAATACAGTAGGTGTTTATATATTGATCTTGTATCCTGCAACCTTACTGCAGTGGTTTATTAGTTCTAATAGTTTTCAGTGGATTCCTTAAGAATTTCTATGTACAAGATCATGTTATCTACAAATAAAGATAATTAATTTGAAGGTCTTTCATTGCATTGGTTTGCCTACCTTTCCTGGCTAGAATTCATGGCACAAGGTTACATAACAGTAGCAGAGGTAATCATCCTTTTTTTGTTTCTGATCTTATAAGGAAAGCATTCACTATTTCATCATTAAATCTAATGTTATCTGTGGCTGTTTTAGAGGTTTCCAAGTTGCCTTTCATTCCTAGATTTTTGGCTGTATTTTCATCTTGAAGGGATATTACATCAAATGTTTTTTCTGCATGTATTGAGATAAATGTGTGCTTTTAGTTCTATATTCTATTACTAGTGTACTATATTTATTGATTTTGAATGTTAAATCACCATTGCATTCCTAGGATAAATCATTTGTCTAATCCTTTTTACATGTTGCTGGATTCACTTTGCTAGTATTTTGTTCTATATTCATAAGAGATACTGATGTGTAGTTTTTGTGTACAACTGTGTTTGGTTTGGGTAGTAGTAATCCTGGTGTCCTCAAATGAATTGGGCAGAGTCACCAGCCTCTCCCACCCTTCTCAGTACTGGGGACTGAACCCAGGGCACTCTACCATGGAGCCACGTCTCCACTCCTTTTTATTTGTTATTTTGAGACAGAGTCTTGCTAAGTTTCCCAGGCCAACTCAAACTTTTGATGCTGCTTCCTCTGCTGCCCTCAGTGCTGGCATTAAAGGCATGTGCACCACACTTGGATCCCTCCACTTTGAGTCCTTTATATAGCTGCCTTACCTCTGTGTATGGTGTGTATGTGGGAGTCACACATGTATGTGGGAGACACACTCTCCAAAGTGTTGTCTGATTCTGCAACTGGTGGCTTCCCTTACCTAGTTTTTTTTTTTTTCTCTGTTGATCTTTTCTCACAGATCTCTCTTCTGTTGGGACATGGATAGGGATTGCCAGTTCCTTCACTTTAGGCAGAGAATAAATTATTTAATTCTGAGTTCTCTTTGTACATATTGATGCTATGTACACTGTTACAAGAGCCACCTTGAATATCCAATAGTCAAATGACTACAATAAAGACTTCATGAAAATTCCTCAAAAAATCAAAAATAATTACCAAATGATCTAACAATCCCACTTCTGCATATATCCTTTTTTTTTTTTTTTTCTGTTTGGTACCGGGGATCTAACTCGCGACCTTGCTCTTGCGCGGCAGGCGCCGGAACCACTGAGCTACATCCCTGGCCCCCAAATCCGCATATATCCAAAGGAAACAAAATCAGTGTGTTGAAAAGACTTCTGCCCTGTTGTGTTCATTGCAGCAGCATTACAGTAGCCAAATATGGAAACCACCTCAGTGTTTGTCCATAGATGCATGGCTAGAGAAAATGTGGTGCATATATACAGAGAATACTATTCATTCCTTTAAATGAACAAACAAAATCTTGTCATTTGTGACAACATGGGTGAGTCTAGAGGACGTTATGCTAAATGAAATAAGCCAGACACAGGAAGATGAACGCTGCATTGTCTCACTTATATACAGACTTTTAAAGTGGAACTCACGGAATTAGAGTGAATGATAGGGATGGGAGATTTGGGGCGTGAGGGGAGTACCAGGGTGGAGATGAATGGGAAAAGCCAGATGATCAGAATTTCAGGGAGGCAGGAGTAATAAATTCTAATGATCTGTTACACAGTGTGGTGAGTATGTTAATAATAATTTATATTTCAGAATTACTAAAAATAGATTGTAAATGTGTTTACCACAAAAGAAAGGTATGTTGGGGCCGGGGATTTAGCTCAGTGGTTTCGCCACCTGCTGCGCAAGTGCAAGGACCCGAATTTGATCCCCGGTACCAAAAAACACCAAACCAAAACAAAGAAAGGTATGTTGGTCAGATTGTTGTTGCTGTGCCAAACACCTGAGATAAATCAATTTATGAGGAGGAAAGCTTTGTTTTGGCTCATGGTATAAGAGGTTCCAGTCCATGGTCATCGGTCCCATTCTCTTAAGCATGTGGTGAGGAATACGTCATGGTGGGCAGCAAGTGGTATGACCAGCTGCTCACCACATGGTGGCCAGGAAGCAAAAAAGAGAGTCCCAATATCTCCTTCAAGGACAGACCCCCAGTGACCTGACCCACCTCCTCAGGTTCTACCAACCCTTCACTGTCACCACAGGTACAGGCCTGACCTTCAATAACACTGGCCTTCAGGGAACATTTAATAAGAAAGGATAAGCATGGAGCTAAATCCCCAGCCTTGGATTCTATTTTCTGAAGAAACTTGTAGACATGCTTTCCACCTTGGAAAATGTTTATGTTAAACATGAACAGGTGGAGTACAGATTGAAAATTACTCCAAAACCATTACCTTATTTATCATAACACTTTCACCTCTAAAACAGGCTTGATACACATTCAGTGCATTTTGTTTTGATTTTTATTATATCCAAAGGCTTTTCCTATTAAAGGGCTCCTTGGAAACAGTTTTATCTGTAATCATGTACACTAATCAAATAATCCTCAGACTTTTCAAAAGCTATTCATTTAATTTTCAAGGGACAAAGAAGAACAAAAAATTTCTGTAATCCATTTTCACTGAGCTTGTGTATTATGCCAGTAATAGAATCTTTAGAAGATATTCCGCCTCCCTCATGAAAAATAAAAATGGCTTGACTTTCATCAAATACTATCTTACAAATTGCATAGTTTTAGATTGACTTACCAGAGAGAACCGCTGAATAAGGAAACACATCCGAATTTAATTTGGAATAATGGGAATGCTGGCTCTGCTGCAGGTATTGAAGTGTCTGCATGCCAGGCAGGGAATGCACTGGGTTCAGGTTGATGTCACACTGAAGTCATTCAGAGGCTGTCTCTCGCCCTTGCAGGTGGAGCGGGAGAAGGCCATCCTGCTGGCCAATCTGCAGGAGTCGCAGACACAGCTGGAGCACACGAAAGGGGCGCTGACAGAGCAGCACGAGCGGGTGCACCAGCTCACAGAGCACGTCAATGCCATGCGGGGCCTGCAGAGCAGCAAAGAGCTCCGGGCTGAGCTGGACGGGGAGAAAGGCCGGGACTCCGGGGAGGAGGCCAATGACTACGAGGTGGACATCAACGGCCTAGAGATCCTGGAGTGCAAATACAGGGTGGCCGTCACAGAGGTGATCGACTTGAAAGCAGAAATTAAGGCCTTAAAGGAGAAATACAATAAATCTGTAGAAAACTATACCGAAGAGAAGGCCAAATATGAGAGTAAAATCCAGATGTATGACGAGCAGGTGACAAGCCTTGAGAAGACCACCAAGGAAGGTGTCGAGAAGATGGCCCACGTGGAGAAGGAGTTGCACAAGATGACCAGCATTGCCAACGAGAACCACAACACCCTCAACACAGCCCAAGATGAGCTGGTGACCTTCAGCGAGGAGCTCGCACAGCTGTACCACCACGTGTGTCTGTGCAATAATGAAACACCCAACAGGGTCATGCTGGACTACTACAGGCAAAGCAGAGTCACCCGCAGTGGCAGCTTAAAGGGCCCTGATGATGCCAGGGGACTTCTGTCTCCACGACTAGCCAGGCGGGGTGTGTCATCGCCAGTGGAAACAAGGCCCTCATCTGAACCTTCTGAAGTTTCAAAAGAAAACCCAGAGGCCAGCAAAGAACCAAGTCCGACGAAGACGCCCACAATCTCTCCTGTTATAACTGCCCCACCATCTTCTCCAGTGTTGGATACGAGTGATATCCGAAAAGAGCCAATGAATATCTACAACCTTAATGCCATAATCCGGGACCAAATCAAACATCTGCAGAAAGCAGTGGACCGGTCTGTGCAACTCTCTCGGCAAAGAGCAGCGGCACGGGAGTTGGCCCCCATGATCGACAAAGACAAAGAGGCTTTGATGGAGGAGATCCTCAAGCTCAAGTCGCTGCTGAGCACGAAGCGGGAGCAGATCGCCACACTGAGGGCGGTGCTGAAAGCCAACAAGCAGGTAATCTCCTCGTGGGAAAGCAAGCTGGGGAAAGCTCTTGGCCAGCTGAGCCCACAGTTCTGATGAGTTTTCAGTAGTACCAAGATAAGAGTTGAGGAGTCCTGGTCAGTGGACAAGTAGAACAGACCACTGCCAGAACAGAATGTAATGTTTCTAGGTGAGGGGATGGATGAGACAGGAGGGTAGCTGTGCCCAGCTGGATGGCAGAAGAGGGGACACCAGAGGAGCAGACTCAGCTGCAGCTGTGGGATGGCCATCCAGGCAGTGCTGAGTGGAAGTGAGTGTGAAAACAGGAGGACAGGGAGGCAGGGGCTGGCATGGCTGTGAACACCAGCCTGGGAGATGTGGCAGGAAAGGTACCCATGCCAGCGGGAAATCTGGGTGCAGACAGAGTGAAGGAGATCTGGAGCCAAAACAAGATTGCAGCTTAAGAGAGCGATCAGCTGCAAGACTCAATTTCTAGGAGAACAAGATAGGAAGGGGGTGTCCCAGCCTTCACCCCTGGCTTGGGGAAGCAGAGTAGTAGATAAACAACCAAATCTCAGACTCAGGGAAGAAGGAAAGACAGTTGTGGGAAATGCAGTGAGAGAGACAAAGCCAGGTGGATGTTACCAACATCTGAAATGATTTGGAGCAGCAAGACAGGGAGAGAGGGAGGGGAAGGGAAGAAAGAGAATGAGAAGGAACTCTGCCCCATCGGTGACCTGGATTTTAGGTTCAATTGGGCTCGAGGCCAGAGCTTAAGCAGCCAGGAGCTTTTCTATTGTTTCCTATCCCATAGAGACCCTGTCCTTCTATAAGGAAAGTGAGGTGCTACACCATGAACTTACCTGACTAATTCCTCTGTCTCCGTGGTGACTGAGTTTGTTTTCTACCCCCGAGTTGTACGTGAGTGGAAGTGCTATGAGATACAGACCTGATGGTACTGTTTAGTTTATCTGAAAAGAGAGCCTCCAATGACACATATTTGAGGAGTGTGCTGGCCAAATCCTGGTATTGATAAAGACAAGCAAGAAGCAACAGATACCTTCTTCCAAATGCAAACATAATCAGTAGCATGCTTTCTCTTCTGAGACAGGGTCTCACTAATGGAGCCCAGGCTGACCTCAGACTTATGATCTTCCTGCCTCAGCCTGCTGAGTGGAGCCTATGCTGTCTGAAGAGACAGTCAATTCTGTGTCGAGTGCCTTCTTCTTTTGTTCTAGTCTTGGTGGGAACCACGCTGACACTGTGTCACCTGCAGCACAACTTTCTGGTCTGCATCTTCTGTCCCCATAAGCAACACTGTGGTTTATACTGTGAAGACACTTTAGAGACTCATGGGCAGAGTAGGAGTTTTTGTGCTGTTGCTTTAGGGAAATAGAAAAAAATAAAGAGAATGAAGAATTGATGAGATATTGGACTCCAATTTGATGTCCGAATGAAGCAGTTTTTTAGCATAACTCTGCTAGAATCCAAAGACTCAGCAAGTTCGAGTGGTCTTAAATAGCCAAAATCAGCTAGGTGTGGTGGCACATGCCTCTAATCCCAGCACTGTGGGAGGCTGAGCCAGGAGGATCATGTGTTTGAACCCATCCTGGGCAACTTAACAAGACTCTATCTCAAAATTTTAAAAAGGGCTGAGGATGTAGTACAGTGTGAAGGACCTGGGTTCAATCCCCAGTACTGCAAAAATAACCCAAAATCACATTAAATGAAGCCAATTGAACTTTTATCCGAGACAGGGGACATTCTTGGTCAAATCATTTAGATAATTACTCTGACTTCTACCTGGAGATTGAATATTAGCCTAGAATACTAGATCTAGAAAAATGTCAGTGCTTAATGGAAGCAGGTAAGAATGGTTTATCAGAGCCGGGGATTTAGCTCAGCGGCTCTGCTGCCTGCTTTGCAAGTGCAAGGCCCCGAGTTCGGTCCCCAGTACCCCCCAAAAAAGAATGGTTTATCAGCCAGGAGAGACTAATTTGTGAACCAGTATTCATTGATTACATACATAGTTTATATAGAGAGAAAGTGGGGATGCAAAACTAAGGGACTAGCAGTCTAGTGCAAATTCAACACACGCCTGTAGCTACTCCTAGGCCAGAACAGACGAAGCACTTTAGAGTCGGATAAACAGTGCCATGGGGATTCGGGCAGAACACAGCCTTCCTAGCCGAACTGTCAGAGTGCTTTGTGGCAACATTTGCATTAGATTAGACTCACAGCCTGTACAGCTCAGTAAATTAAATGCAAACACGTTTTGAGCCACACATCTGTTACACATTTTAATGCTGTTGGGCCTGTTGCTGGGTGCTTGTGTGCCTTAAATAGCTTCAAGGGTCCCCAGATGACAGCAGTTCTATTTAGACCTTGTGGAACATTAATTATTAAGACTGAGCTGAGAATTCTGTGGCTTAGGAAAGAAAAGGGACTCTTCTTTACAGTCGGCATTCTGTGTTCCATGTGCATCTTTTACTGTCCTTTAGCGTGTTTTCAGAGGCGCGCTGTCTCTGGTGCAGCAGGTGGTTCTAAAGCACTATCTATGGACCAGGCTATTGTAGGTGTGAGGTTCAGACTAATGCATAGCCCTCACCTTCCAGAAGAGGCCTTGGCACCATGGCCGGCAGGGTACAAACCAACAACAGCAGTTTGGTGTTACATGTGCTGCCACCCAGCTATGGGACGTCACAGAGCAAACAGCTAATGTTTCTTATGGGAGCCTTAGAAAAGGCTGCACAGAAGCAATCATATTGCCTGACTTGAACTTGTCCTCTTTCTGCCTTAGACTCCCAAGAGCTGCAGTTACAGGCATGGTGCCCAGCTTTGAATTTATTCTTACAGGTTAAGAAATTGCTTTTTCCAAGGGAAAGAGAGACTAATTCCAGACAGAACAATAGGTACAGAAGGACAGGAGTAATAGAAAGAGGGTACTATGGTAGGGGAATGCTCCAGAAGATCTCTGACTGGAAATAAAGCTTTTCTATTTAGAAAGTCAAGGTTGCAGTGTGTAGAAAATGTAGTAAATGCAGATGTCAGCACTTTTACTAATGGGTCTGAGGTACTTAAAATTACTTAACTCTGAAAAAGCTTTGTGCAGCCTGTGGACACACAAATCTATGGTCCTTCTTGGCATTTTTCACAAGCAGCAAGTTTGTACTTCTGTTCGGATCTCACTGTCTCCCTCCCCTTGTGCTGTCCTAGGTACCAACTATGTGCTTACAAATTTGTTACAGCTTCAGTCTCACAACTTAAACAGAGTCATCTGTTCAAGATGAATCTGTGTTTGAACTTAAAGAGAAAAACTAAGCAATTAATATTTTCCCCCCCACATCAATTTCTACACTTTGGATAATTTTCTGAATTTATAACATTTCTGAAGATTCCACTAAGTATTAGTGCTACAGAACATACAAAAGTACTTTATGAGCAACTTCTCATTTAATTCTGAGTTTAAAGTCAATCAGGACTAACAGGAAACAACTCTGGAATTAAAACATTAGCAAACTACTCCATGTTAACACTGAATTAGAATCTATAGAAGTTGGCACTTTGCCTAAGAAAGTTGAAGCTGTCCATTTCAACCTCGAAAAGACATGTTAACAACCCACCATAGGCTCCCTGAGAAATTTCATTCGTAATGAGGCTTTTTTTCACTAGTATTAAAACAGATGATCTTGTATAAACCCAAGTTCTTCCCAAAATTGAGGACAAAAGGAGGTATTTCGGAGAGTGTTTACTAGAAACCCACCTAAGCAGGGAAAGAAGTCTGATGCCCTGTACAAACAGGCAGAGTGAGGGGGCTTGTTTCAGAGGAAATGAGTTCAAAAGAGTTGAAAAAGAAACTAGTTGTCTTGTTTTTGTGGAGTTGAGTCTGATTAAAGTCCAGGTCCAGAGGTAGGAAAGAGCTGTTAACTAAGCACACCTTCTTCCGGGAGAAAAGGTCCTGATCTCTCTTCTGATTATAGCTTTTATCCTTCTTGTGTTTACCTTTACATCTCTAAGCTTGGCTTAGCTGTCTAAATTAGCTCTTAACTCAGTGGGCTATTTTCTTTTTCTGAACCAATTGTTAGGCTGTTCTGCCTATTCATAATCACTAAACTAAAGTAAATAAACTAAATTTAACCACTACACTACTGTATTGGATATTTTTATAAAGTCTGAAGAGCAGTAGCTTAGTTTGTAAAAATGACATTTCCGGTTTGACTTCATCCTATGGGCAGCCCTGAAATACTTGCCAGTTTTTCTGCATTGATTCAGTCAGTGTGGTTTTTACTTCCAGCTGTGCCATGCTAGTTCTAGATTTGAAACACTGTTAATCCAGGAACTTCAGAAATGCCCCAATCCAAATTCAAACAAATAGTTGAACTCATCCCATATTTTAGAGCCTCTGTTTTTCTAAGATATGATGAAGAATTAAACTTAACTGTAATTCGTTGTTTTGAACAAGTTGTGTGGAAAGACTTAGAAAATGCTTGGTTGTCATTTCTTTTCCTTAAACATATGATGACCTGGGTTTATAGTTTTTCATACCACACTCATGTAGGGCCGGGAGTTAGCTCAGTGGCACCGCGCCTGCCTCACAAGCACAAGGTCCTGAGTTCAATCCCTGACACGAAAAAAAAAAAGCATACTATACTCATGTTATAAATTACAGTGGTCTTTGTCTTTTAGTCTATGCTTCAAGCTCACAGAGCACAGAGGAACTCAAAAATACTTGAGTTCAAACATTTCTTACATGGAAATTACACTTTTAAAACTTCTGAAGTCAATTCTTGGATAGAGTTTCACTTTGGCGCCCTCTTCTCTGACGATCCTACCCCTTCAGCAGTCCGGGAGAAATGTTGACGAGCAGCTGCCCTTCCCTTCACTCCTCGTACTGACTGCACACTCTGGCTTCCAGCACAAACCACATTATCAGTTCACAACACGTTTGATGTGACACAGAATCCCCTACGTCCTGTGTATGAATTATGATTCTATAAACTCTGACCAAATCAATTCCGCCTTCCGTTGATGGAAGGGAATGCAGCCAGACCCCACATGAAGAAATCCACATGGCAGTTTCCTGTGGTGAAATGGTAAGCGTTGTGATTTTTCTGCTGCAGACAGCAGAGGTGGCCCTCGCTAATCTGAAGAACAAATACGAGAATGAGAAGGCAATGGTGACTGAGACAATGACCAAACTCCGGAACGAGCTGAAGGCTTTGAAAGAAGACGCTGCCACCTTCTCCTCCTTGAGAGCAATGTTCGCCACGAGGTAACCAGGCTTCTCCCTGAAACTGGCTATAGTGCACGGGAGGGGACTCTATTCACAGTGGTCTTCGGGAATCCTGGGTGTGTTTGGTGTGTGGTTCGGACAGGAAAGCATGCCAAGAATGACTCCATTCTGACAAATCTAAAACAAAACTTTACTGCTTACATTCAGAGCCCTCTCCTGGACACTCTGGACCAAGCAGTTTATTACAGAAAAACCTTTGTAGCTGCCTCAGCCTGAGAATTGCTTGAGCCCAGGAGTTCAAGACCAGCCTGAGCAACATAGCAAGACCTAGCCTTTAAAAAGCTAAAGTAGGGGCCAGGGATTTAGCTCAGTGGTTCCTCTGCCTGCCTGGACAGCACAAGGTCCGGAGTTCAGTCCCTAGTACCAAAAAAAGCTAAAATAAAATAATTAATCAGTTACTATAATGATTTTTTGGTGGTGCTGGGGATTGAATCCAGAGCCCACATTCTCAGTCCAAGGATCAGATTTTTTTAAAAAGACTTTCTTAAAAAGCCCACTTTCTAAAGCAGGCAAATATTTTTCAGCCTGAAATATATTTCTGTGACTAAAATATTTAAAAGTGCTCACCATGAGTATTCTGTTAGAAGATTCTTCTATTTAATTTCTAAAAGGTAATTATGTATATCGCCAAATTTTTCACATTACCTAACTAATTACAGAAAATACTAATTTCTACCTCCCCCCATGAGTTTCTTTTTCAGTCAGCAATGTATTTTCTTTTAAAACTTGAAATAGTTGTTGAGATATATTGATTTGAGACTTTCAGTGTATTACTGAAATTTCTCTGGTCATAATGCAGTGCCCCCCCCCTCCAAAAATTGAAAGCCACCGATTATATACCCTGTATGGTGCAAATTTGGTACAGAATTCACAAAGCATAACTCTGGCTTTATCTATAGATGAGGGAAATAATTTATATGTAGGTGATGTAAAGAAGATGTCGGGCTTTCTGGGAGTCCTCTGTGGTCTGTCCAGCTTTTTACTAGGAGAGAGAACGCTCAAGGTCCTGTGTGGTGGAATTTCCTGGACATGACAGAAATAAGGTGGGCACCTGAGACCAGAGGTGTGAGAACTCGAGGGGACTGCTTCTGGTCGCAGAGCATGGTGGCATTTGGAGATCAGAATTTGTGCACCCGTGGAGGACAGAACAGAGAATAGAAAGGGGGACAGTGTCCCCCTTTGGTGAAGGAAATCAGGATTGCATTTAGATCAAGAGAACATAAATTTCCTCTTTGAGAAAGAATATATTTTTTAAAAATTAAAGGAACATTTAAAAATCTCAGTATATGAAAAATGTCTTATATATGAATTATCTCCCAATAGTTCATTTTCACAGACATTTTTTTTTAGGTACAATAACTACCTTACTCTCTAGCATTAAAAATATTGTTATCTGGCCAATGAATATTTCGGGGGGAGTTGAGACAGTGTCTTGCTATGTAGTTTACTCTGGCCCTGAACTCACTATGTAGCCCAGGCCGGCCTTTAACTCGCAGCGATCCTCCTGCCTCAGCCTCCCTAGTTCTGTGATTACAGATGTGTGCCCAGCTGGCCGATGAATATTATTGTCAGGTCCTGAAAGTCACTTCACATTTTATGAAGCTCTGATATTTATATAGATCCCTAGTACACTCCTTGACGCTGAGAGGTAAAGAAGACGGGCTCCCCCTGGATTTCATGTTCTTTCAGGCAGCCCAGGTTCGTGCTGTTTCAGTGTGCACAATACATTTGGGTTTACTCTATGAGACCATCAGCTGTCATCTGGTACACGAAGAATTTTTGTCATTAACAGCATACCTGGTAAATAAAATCAGCAGAAACTCAGAAAGAGCTTTTTCTCCACATTGCTTCTTCCTTCCAAATGCATGTGGATTTTCCTTCAGGGGAGAAATGGGTCGAAGAGCTGATCTTCATGCCTCAGCACAAGCGTGAAGCCAGCCTGAAGATGCTCCCAACAGGCTGGCTCCCTCCAGCTCAGACCCTGTGCGAATCTCGGGTTCTTTGACAACTCACTGCTTTGTCACCTGTTTAAAAAGTCATTATTTTCTGGGCTGGGGATTTAGCTCAGTAGCACCATGCCTGCCTCACAAGTCCAAGGTCCTAAATTCGACCCCCGGTACCAAAAAAAGTCCTTATTTTCTAACTCAAGCAAACCTGCCATATTGAAAACAGTGCCAGCTGCAGTCTGTACTAAGCTAAAATAAAACCTGTAAGTATATGTGCTCGCTTCGGCAGCACATATACTAAAACCTGTAAGTATAGATAAAGAAGCAAATTTTTTAATTAACATTCTTTTGGATGCTGTCAGTAAGCTTTTCACATTCCTGCAAAAAATTCGCTGTTATGTAGTGGAAAGAGCCATTGTAACACACCTGAGTACACCAGCATCCTAAATATCTAAATTCCAGTCAAATTCATAGCAGTAGTTCCTCTCTTATCAGTGGGGGATGCGCTACAAGGGCCCCAGTGGACTCCCAAAGCCACAGCTTGTACCAAACCACACAAACATACCTATGATAAATTTTATAGTAATTAGGCACAGCAAGAGATTAGCAATAACCAATAATACAGTGGAACGATTATAATAATATATTGTAATAAAAGTTGTGTAAATGTGGTCTCTCTCTTGAAAGAGGGAAGACAAATACTAATATTTGAGGGCTACCATTGGCCTTGGATAACTGAAGCAGAGGATGAAGGAGAACTGTACTATTCGACTTGTTCCAGTTCCGTTTTACCAGATTCCTCCTGACCCCTGCTGTGCTTGGGTTCCAGATGTGATGAATATGTCACACAGCTGGATGAGATGCAGAGACAGTTAGCGGCTGCAGAGGACGAGAAGAAGACCCTAAACACTTTGTTACGAATGGCTATCCAGCAAAAACTCGCCCTGACTCAGCGGCTGGAGGACTTAGAGTTTGACCATGAGCAGTCCCGACGCACCAAAGGCAAACTTGGAAAGAGCAAGATCGGCAGCCCTAAAGTAAGTGGGGAGGCGTCAGCCACCGCGCCCACCATAGACACTTACCTCCTGCATAGTCAGGGCCCACAGACACCCACCATGCGGGGCAGCAGTGGCACTCAGAGGAAAAGGTATGCATGCAGCGATCTTCACAGCATGATGCAGTGGCCAGATTTCAGTTAACTGCAAACATGAATGTGCTCTTGTTGCGAAGGATGGAGGAGGGGAAGGGGAAGCCCAATTTGGAGCTGGTATCAATGGGCCTTGCTAATGTTGGTCTTTCCAGATCAGAACCTTGTGATAATTGCATTGATATTTTTCTTTCTGCACCCCATCCACACCTCTCAGTTAATCATAATTTAATTTTCAAGTGTCTGTTAAATATTTTTGCTGTTCTTTGTATGCATATATATAAAATGGGTAGACAGAGTGGCTATTAAGAACGAAGCTGGGGGGCCAGGGATGTAGCTCAGTGGTATCGCACTTGCCTCGCAAGTGCAAAGTCCTGAGTTCAACCCCTGGTCCCCCCCCAAAAAAGAGAGAGAACGAAGCTGTGTTCTATGTGAGCTGTAATTTTAAAAGTCATTGTGCCTCTGGAAAATGGTGCTATCTAGCAGCTTCTCCTTAAGGGAGACAAGGATATAAATATGTTCTCTTGGGGAACTTCTGCCCGTGTGTGCAAAACTGGTGACTGATGGCCAGGGCATGTCTGTATTTAGGTAAAATGGAATGGAAAACATAGAGTCCTTTTCTTAAAAGCAAATTGTTGTGTTTTTAAATTTGGCATGTGAATATTTCTCCAGAGAGACCATTTATAAGGTTTTTAATGGCTTGTTTTTGTGACATTTTTCCTGAATCCTGGTTGTTAAATTTCTTATCTTGTGTTTTCCATTACTATGGTAAAATTTTTATTTGAGGAGCTTTTATTTATGAATCAAATAATACATAGAGCTTCTATCTGTGCTTCAAACTGACTGTGATAAATCTCTTTTCCAGTGTCCAAAACAGTTTCCAAGTAGGCCTGTATCCTCATGTGGAAACTTAAAAAAAAATAGCAGGAATCTTAATTAATATATTTTTTTAAATTAAATGCCAGTATAAATAATGTTGTCACTGGTGAGGCACTGAAAGGTAATTAAAGTAAAACTTTTTTGTTTCCTATATGTATTTTTCTTGGATCTTCTGCAAGACAATTTTCACCTTCCCTTTGTGATCAGAGCCGTCCCAGGACTTCAGGGGCCTCCTACCTACAGAGTTTATTAAGCGTTCCCCCCGACCCCACCTCCACAGAATCATTTCTTCTGAAGGGCCCCCCTTCCATGAGGGAACTCATCCAAGGGCACCGGCTCAGCAAGGAAAAAAGGTTAACCGTGGCTCCACCAGGTAAACACTTTTTCCTTGGGTGCATGTGACGCAAATGACTAGTTGAAGAGACAGACGACTCTCCCTTCCTTCCAGCCAGTCATACCCACCCTTGGCAGAGTCCAGCTATTCAAGTGAAAACCCCTGTGCTTCCCTTTTCCTCCTTGACTGCGGCCAGCCAGCCTTACTTAGAAGCCTCCAGGGCTTCCATCCAAAAGCCCAGGGAGGAAAACTCCAACAGGAAGGATGGATAAGGAAGTTAGCAACAGGTACAATGCAGGATACACACCTAGATCCTATTTGCAATTTGGTAGCTCATGGTGATTCCAGTGTGGTCAGATTTTGTTTCCCTCTTGCCATTTTTCATGTAATTTCACAAGGAGAACCATATTATAGCAAGCCTTTTGGGCTAATTTCCTTTTGTAGTGACTCAGAATGTTTCCTCGGTTATTATACACAAAATAAAAGTGAACTCCTTGAAGGTTTTGCCCCTCAGGAACATTTAGGTCTAAACATAAAGGTTCTTACAATTTGCAAGCACTCATTGATTTATATCATCAGCATGTTCACAATTTACTTTAGCGTCACTGTTTTGCATTTTCTGTTCTTCTTTTTAACATTTCCTATGAAGAGGCCTCAATAAAAAGGCCTCTGATTCATGACAAATAAAAAAAACATGACTTCTAATAAATAAAGATCATCCTTTTGCAAAATCCCTATGTGCGTTAAGAATAGGTTAGAGGGGGTGCTGGGGATTTAGCTCAGGGGTTCTGCTGCTCCCTGCCTTGCAAGCGTAAGGACCTGAGTTTGATCCCCAGTACCAAAAAAAAAAAAAAAAAAGAATAGGTTAGAGGCAGCAAACAGGAAGTCCACAATACAAAATAAGGCCAAGGACAGCTAGTATTTGAAAATTACAGGGAATAAGAAATTGAAACTAACTCAAGTTAAGTAGTCAGCAGTTACAAAGACAGGGACTTCACATGAACGTGCGTGTTTCTGGCCTCTTTTTAAAGACCCTGGGTGTTTGGCAGCCCGAGTTCTGTGGTCAGGCCTGTCAGCACCCTGTCAAGCCGTGTAGCAGCTGTCGCATGGACAGGGTGAGCTTACACTCTGCCACGGTGCCATTGCCCCATGCTTACACCCGGCCTCCTGTACTCGTGTCTGTTACCTTCTGGCCTCTGCTGTACCCTTCGAGTTTGCTTCCTACTTAATTTAGTTCCGTTTTACCTGAATTCCATTTTGGAGACCTCAGCCTTTGGGTCTCTAGTACTTTTCTTATCTGATTCATATAATCAGCCTACTGATCGGGATGGAAAGCTGTCATATAATCATTCTCATCACATGTTCAGCCCTCTAAGAATGCCTGAGGAAATGGGTGACAGCAACGTGGAATGGCATGATAGCCCAAATGCATGTACACTGATCACTCTCATTTCGTCTTTCATAACTCATTTCCTGTTGTTCTAGGCCCCTTGGAAGGTACCTTCAGTTATTCTGTGACTTCCCAAAGAGGTGATTATTCGTCAGAGCACCTACCTCGAGTAAAACCCATAAAACGTTTTTAGTGTTCCAAATGGATTTAGGAGCACTGCCTACTAGTACTTGGAAAAATAATGGTATGGTTAACAAATAACTCCTATTGTATTTAAATTTTAAGGTGACGTATCAAGATTAAAATTAATAAATATTAACAATAACTATTTCCATCTTTCTATGATTGGTCCTTGGATACATGAATGTGTATTTTACATCACTATCATTACAGTGCAGAAGCCATTAATTACTATTATATCATAAACTCTTCCATGTTGCTAGTCATTTTTAATTTAAAGATGTATCTTAAATTTTATTTCAAATCTCATTGCATTGCTCACTCCTTCCCCTCTTGTTGGCTGTGATAGTTTTCCATGATTTGTTATATTATGGAATGCTGCTGATTGGAATATCCTTATGCATTCAACTTCTTGCCTACTCAGGTTTTTGTTGAAAGTGAGGTCATGATTTAGAGGTCAAACATCTTTATGATTTTTTGCTCCATTTTGATGTTGCATTGAAAAGGATATAACATATACTGGCTGAACAAAACACTTTCCCTATATTCACATTCTACAGTATCAGTATCTTCAACTCTAAGGCCAGTTGGTGTATGTGAAGGAAAGTACCATTACATTGTCTTAAATTCTTTAGTTTTGAGTAACCAGAAAATATCATCAGCTTCAGAAATGATTTCCATGTACAAGATTAGAAATACAGGGCTGGGGATTTAGCTCAGTGGCACTGCACCTGCTTCGCAAGCACAAAGTCCTGAGTTCTATCCCTGGTACCAAAAGAAAAAGAAAAAAAAAAGATTAGAAATACAAATAAAATTCAGAATCATCACTAGGACAGGAAAATCACATTGATGATAACAGCGTATTGGCAAATGTTATATTTCTAAGCATTTACTTGAGGTTAAAATAACAAAAGGAAGTAAAGCTTATACCTTGAGAAATTTTCATTTATATATCGTAAGTTCAATCAGATTAATCCTTAGTAAATTCTTACCAGGTAGTCCAACAACATATTCTAAAAGACCCTGTTTAAATGAATTACTGTAGAAATTGATTAATCATCTACACTAAATTGTAGCTTCTAAAAATATCCACATGTATGACAAACGTATTATTTTTCTGTGGCTAAACTATATTGGGTAAAATATATTAAACATTATTTATGATGCTTTTGCTAGATAAAATGTTTTTACTAAGCAGAAAAAAGGAAAACGTGTCACATATATAACCAAATGCAAGAGGTATCTAAAACCCATGAGATGAGGCCAGGGATTTAGCTCAGTGGTTCTGCCACCTGCCTCGCAAGCACAATGAATTTGATCCCTGGCACCAAAAATAAATAAATTAATAAAATAAAAAATAAAACCTATGAGAAACAGTAGATCTTATGAGTATTTTTTACTTACAAGTTTAATATAAATTATTGATTATAAAATGTGCTGGCTGGTAACAGTATAATAAGTCATTTGAAAGGACAGTTTCCTGTTAATTCTTCAGAATCCTTTTGATGAGTGTTGTTTTATAAAATACATATTTAATATATATTTTTAGACTCTTAATTTTATTTTAGTAAGCAGATAATGAGCTTTCTTTTGAGGATCATTGAAGTAATTATATCAGTAAACATGAAATTTAGAACATAAAATGTTTTTACCCTTTATAAGAGATACTTTTAAATAGATTTCATTTCCGTGAGTTTGTCAGCAGAAAAGCTTATCTTCTTACAGGCACAGTTTCTGGAACATTGGCTCTCAGGTGGGCGGGCCATCGTGACAGGATGTCCGGTGGAATGTCACTAGGATGTCCGGGGCTAGTTGGTTTGTTACATTGGTACAGCCTGCTGAGGGAAATTCTGGCCTCATCTCTGACTTTGGCTCAGCTCTGGTCAAGCCAGCCCCTGAAATTCCTGTTTCTGATTGCCACTGTGGACTCCTTGTCCCAGCAGATGCACTGCTGTGTCCTCCCCATGCTCATCCTAGTTTTATGGTCTCGGTTATCAGCTTGGATGAACTTCAATCAAAGGGACCTGTTATCATCAGGGAATGTATAATAAAGCAGCAGATTACATATTTCATCAAATCACAGCTTATTTTATAGTCAACATTTTATATTGATGCCATAACAATCTAGGCATAATAATAATAATAATAATTTTGACATATAGTATTATTATCATTTAATTAGTAATTAAAACCAGTTTGAGCTGAGAATAGTGGCATATGCTTCTAATGCCAGAACTCAGGATACTAAGACAGGAGGATCTCAAGTTTGAGGCCATCCTGAATTACATAGTGAAACCCTGTGTCAAAAACAAACAAACAAAAAATCTATCTATCAGAATATGTAAAAGGAATCTACCTGATTCACAGGCAAGAGATGTTTTTTCTGTAATTAAAATCTGAATGCATGTGTGCAAGACAAATAAGACATTTCAAACTTGGAAAAGCAGGTGTGAAGTCTCTTCCTGAAGTAACACGCTAAGCAGTTTGCTCTTTAGGTTACTACTGCACTAGTGTGAGAGAATAATATTGTTTGGAAATCTGCCTTTTTTTCTGTGATATTTTATATTTTGCCATTTTCAAAGCTACATAAAATAACTCCTTTAAGTCTGTAGTCAACATACACACGAATATTTTCATAGTGGAAAATTACCTTTACATTTTACAACATACGAACCAGAAAACATTTTCCTACTTGTTGTATTACAAAGCCCACTTGTACCAAAACCACATTTCCCTCATTAGCATTTCCTTATTCACTCATTCATTAAAATATAGTGAGCACTACTGTGTGTCAGGCAGTTTCCTTGGCTATAAGGCACTTTCCTGGTATATGGTGATATTCAAATGAAATGCCACCCAGCCTTGTTCTTCAGAAGACTCTCAGTCGTGGGCCGGGGATGTGGCTCAGTGGTAGAGTGCTTGCCTTGCATGCACAAGGCTCTACGCTTGGGAAGGAAGGAGAGAAGGAGGAAGTCACATTCTGATAGGCGGAAGTAGGCACATAAGGAACGGTGCCAGTAGATGCTCCTGGAATAAGCACAGGTGTTAGAGAGGTTAGGGACCTCTTCCCAGAATAGCTGAAAGTTCTGGCTATGAAGGTGGGCAGAAGGTAGCAATAAAGGTGGGAATGAGAAGAGCTTTCCAGAACAGAGCTCATGTATGCAGGCTGTGAGCTTGCGACAACAGCCTGCTCAGGATGTGGAAGTGATGGGAATGAGAGTGGAAGGTGAGCAGGCTAGAAACCAGAGAGTAGATCAGAGCTGGCCAACTGAGAGCTGTGGTGCTGAGTAGGACCAGGTGTCCAGTACAGAATGCTATCCTAGCAGCAAGGTGAGAATGGAATAGGCATGGCTAACACCTACGGTAAAGAAGCAGGTGTGGAGACTAAGGAGAGATGCAGATGAGGGGGATACCACAGTCAGAGCTGGGGGGAGAAATGCTTGCCTGTGTGCAGGGGAAACTCCCAGGT